CGTACTGTTCTTGATCAGAGGTCGAGATAGATAGTATTCTTTGTAATGGCACACCCAGCGTGTGCTGGTTTTAATCAGCTTTGTCTTTATTTCAAGGCACAGTATCGAAGTCTTTAGATTTAAAAAGTGACATAACTACAAATAATGTGCACCTGCTTAGAACCGAGATTCATTTAAAGTTGAGGGGAAAAAAAACCCTTTGTAAATCTCATGGTGGAATGAATTCAGTCACGCAAAAGGCAGAATTTATCTTGGCTGCAGTGGTGTGAATACTGAATAAACCCCAGAAACATAAGAGATAAGGCTCCAGATTTTCAGCAGTGTAGCTGGGATGTTGCCTATTCCAGAATACCAAATGATTAACTTTCTGCAAAATGTTTCTGAGCTATTTAGATTACTGACTTCATCGACTGGAAAATCTGGTAGATGGGCATTCAAGAGGTGAGATCTTTGCTGTAGGATTAAGGGATTTCAATAGCAAAACTGACTGGAAGAAGAGGTCGAGCAAGTCTTTATGGTGCAGCTTTGCTTTTCATCACACTACAAAGACTTCTTACCATGCAGCAGTAATCATAATCCCTTTTCGTGCATGTGTTTACTTTTGGCAAATAAACTGCTATGATGCAGACAGCCTTCTCCGTTGGGATGGGTTGTGTTTAAACGCAGCATAAAAATTAAGAGAGAAGTAACTTGCCAGAATACTTTGTGACCCTGTATGCGTTCTGTCTTTTCATAGCTAGTAATTTTATGTAATGCCTGGCTCTGATATGGCATACTATGCAAGCTGTGCATAGTGGTGTCCACCTCAAGCCCATGCCCGCCTCAAGTCAGTCTCCACCAGTGAAGTCCACCTCCTGGTTGAGGAGCAGTGGCATTGTCTCAGCATGGAAAATTCCAGGGGGAAAAAAAAAAAAAAACAAACTAGCATTCTTTCCTTTGCCTTTGTTTTGTTTTGTTTTGTTGTGTTTCATTTTTTAATCTGCTGGGGGCAGCACAGATGAAGTGAGCCTTTTGGCAAGGCCACTGGAGTGGGGAGAGGGGAAATGGCGCTGTGGGCCAGGACCGAGGGAATCTTGCATGTGAGGGCAGGGGCAGTATTGGGAAGATGTTATTGAGGCATTTGGACAGTAAAGCAGGGGGTTTAGGTTAGGCTGAGGTAGAACTATGTAGGGTCTCTCAATGAAAGCCAGATGATGAAACTGTATATTGTGAAAAGCAATGAGCTAGCAATGAGCCTCAGAAAGAGCATTACCAGAAGAGAGAGATGGAGGAGGCAGTTTTCTTGCTTTTGTAGAACTACTATTTAGTTTCAGTAATAATGTGGTATATTTGTTATATACTACTCTATCAGCCTTTCCCCTCCAGGTACTTAGATGCTTCATCTTAGAGAAACGTGTGTTGTTGAGTTTTGGGAGAGTTTTTTGCTATTCAGACTTCTGAAGCGTAATTCCGATACTGTTCCTTTGAGTACTGATGGGGGGAATGATCAATCTGCCTTCCAAGCATGATGAGAAACAGTGAGGCCCTCAGCACATGTGCTACAGGAAGGTCTCTGTCCGGTCCCCCAGAAGGGCAGCGTGCCCCAGCAGAGCATCCTGTTCTCCATGTGCGTGGCAACGTCCAAGCGCAGATCAGTGAGCCAGCTCTCTGGGAGCTCTCTCAAGAGTTACTGCAAATACTTGCCCAGGTCACGCAGTTGTTACACCCTAGAACAGGCCATAGGTTAGATGCAAAGGCACTTAATTTTTTTTTTTTTCCCTTTTAAAAAGTAAATATTTACCATTATTATTGTGAAACACCGACCAAGTTTAGAAGGGAGAACGCAAGCGAGCTGTATCTTGCTCAAAGCGCGCTGCTGCGCGCTTCCCCGTCAGCGCACTGCTGTGCCCTGGCGAGCTGCCCCAGGAGCCGGCGGCTGGCGCTGCGGCGTGTGCAC